AACCTAAATTAGTTCGTGCTTTCGTTCATAGACCTGACCGTTAAAAATTGATAAAAAAAGTATCAAAACATAATTTTTGTTCAATTCTTGTTACACCTGTCAACTTTCTCTCTTACAACCGCCCATATACACAATTATTCAAAACACATGTTCCATCACGTGTAATAACAATCGTACACACATTATTCTTCATTTCAACGTCTGTTTGAATATCATACATGTCATTTCCCGGCGGCGACACACCCGGTTAAGGACGGGTTCGAGTCCGTGGGTCGGTCTCGCCGCCCTGGGCGGACGCGAACCGCCATTGGGCGGTCGAGGGTGGAAAGGGCGGTAGACAGGCCCTGCTGCGGATAAGTATCGAGCGCGTAATTGCGTGATAAAGGGCGGCAAAATTGTTGGACTAAATACAAACGGGAAGGAATAAGAAATATGGGTAGGTTTATGAAATGTATCGTTAACCTAATTATTAATGGGTTTAATATTATTTAAATATTATAGTCGTGAAAAATACTTATGTAATTATTATAAGTCAAAGTGTTTTTCAGTATTCCGCTGACTGCAAAATATACAGGGTTGATCGAATCGTATTCGGGAAACTTCGGCAGCAAAATGAAAAGAAAATGTTTTAATTTAGATTTCAATAAGTATTCTTCAATCAAAAATTGTCGCGAAGTTTAAGAAGAATATGACTCCAAAATTTATATAATTTGTTGCTAGAAAAAAAATAACTAGAAAAAACGGGTACATATTTCTAAAATGGGTTCAATTAATTGATGATCAAAAAATGATCAATTATAGTTATAGAAAAATAAATTGGTATTATACTAATTATAACTAAATTCAAAAAGCACTTCTATATTCATGAAGCAGATTTCGATATAAAAATAATTTGGTATCGTACAGTATATCCCCGGATTGTATTCACAAGAGAAAAAACTTTTTTATTATTGACATTTTGAGGAAGATAAGAATTTCCTCATAAGAATTTTTACTTCTTACCTTTCTATAATAATATTTAGATTTCATTCTTTGATAGAGGGTTATTATTAATATGACGTTAATTAAAATTCTATTAATAACAATCTGTCAAAGAATGAAATCGAAATGATATTATAATACTTTTCATTTTTAGGATTTTTAGGAAAAAAAATACAACTATTTTTTATTTTTTTTTTAATTTTCTCTAAAACGGCATGGAAATTTGGAAAAATATAAACGGAATTAAACATTTTAGAAAAAGCAAAATTTTCTATAAAGAATATATTTTTCTCAAAATTTCTATAATAAAAAAGTTTTTCCTCTTGTAAAGACAATCCGGGGACAAACTGTAAAATACTCATCAAAAATTTAAAATAAAAAAATATATTTTCCTATCATAATATTGTATAATAGCTGTTGGTGTGGTTGGATTTTTATGCAGGCACCTTCGCCATATTGTCAATAAAAAGTGTTTATTTAATATTTTCTCTCTTATTAGAAACTTTTTAAGTATATTAAAATTAAAGATATGATTAATAAAAATCTATAACGTTAGTTAATAGTTATTTTTTATACAAGACGATAAAATGGTATTTTATCGTCGACCGAAAGAATTAATTTCGGGAAACGATAATGTAATTTTATCGTCGTGTATAAAACAATATTTTTTCCATAGCGAGTTACGTTTTAAAAAATATTCAGAAATTATTATTTCAAGGAATTTATACGAGTAGAAAAAATATTGTGCTGGGTTGGCGTGGTTTCTATGTAATTTGACAAATAAATAAAGCTGTCTCTTTAGTTGTCAGTTTCGAGTCCATATTTTTTAATTCTCTTTCGTGTCGATTGCTGATTGAATTGGAGCCAGAAATGGCTCAAAACGAAATAATTAAATTACCAAGAGATATTCAGGCTGAGGCGACAAACGCCATATCCAAACTACTTTCATTTAAATCCCGAATAACTTATGAAAAGGAATACAAAAATTTTCAAAAATGGAAGCAATTAATAAACGCGCGAGAAGAAATAAAGTTTTTAATCTATCCTCGCTGTTAAAATATCATTTAATCTACCCTTGCGGTTAAAGTACTATTTTTGGCTTTTATTTTTTTTAGTAAAGGCTTTTTTCTTGAGTTAGGTAATTTAATAATAAGTTTTGTTGTCACCAATAAAATGTTAATACGAATACTTATTTTATAAAGTTATTTGGAAAAAATAAATAAGATTTTAAAAAACACACAATAAAAATCACTACATTCTTAAAAATATGTGTAACAAATAGAGAAAAAAAAACAAAGTAACGAATGAAAGACAGTCTTACAATCCACCACACCATTACCAAACTTCATAAATAAAGCAATACACGCCGAAATATTCGAAAAATCCTAATTTGCCTCATTTCCATCCATCTTCACCTTCAAAATCTCCATTAAAAACCCCTAAAATGTCACCGGAAAAAATCCGACCCAAAACAGACGCTTCTCCAAAAGTTATTTTTGGACACACATGCAGTTGACGTACGGAGTACACAAACTAAACCGTCACAAGACGCTAAAAGGTGTAGGAGATGAGGAAAAAAAGCGAGAACTGGTGTTCTACAACCGTTTTTAACCGAGCATACCCATGGCCCTTAGCATTTCGTCTCTGTTAAGATGTCTACGCTCCATAATGTCGTTTAATACTAAACAGAGTTATTTGAATAATTCTGGCCAGTTGTCATAAACACATAGCCAGTACAGGTTAAATTCGAACAATTGATGCTAGGTGCTTTTTATACATTTGACAAAAAATGCACAAACACTTCTGCAAATATCCCAAATTTAGAAATAACTAGTGTTACTACTTCGTTTCAATCGAAGTAGAAAGAATCGGCCTACAAATATGTGGTTGTTTATTCAAAAAAATTATTTTTAACTTTAATAAAATGATATCCCTAGATTTTTCCGGTGTGTGTAGTTTTTTACGTGTAACAAAAAGTTTTTTACGCATAAAAAACAGTTTTTATGTGTAATAAATAGTTTTATACGCGTAAAAATAGTCTTTTACGTCTTACACATATTTCCCAAGTAGCATCTTTGGACATAAAATCGAAACAAAATCTCTGCTATTTCAAACAAAAATATATATATGTGGTATATACAGGGTGGTCTGAACTGTATTCCGGAAACTTCGGCAGCATCTGCAGATAGAAATAAGTAAAAAAGTTCGTATAAATGTATGTCCTAAAATGCTTAGTTTCGAAGATACAGGATGTAGAAGTTTCATTTTTATTTCGATTTTTTTCAAATAATTTCTGAAGTAACGTCAATATTAATAAGATGAAATTTGGTGTCTGGGAGTTTTTTCACATGAGAAATTTGATTTTGATGTCAATATAACTCCTACTTGTAGAGGGCGCCACCTACATATTTTTAACTGGGTGGAAGAGTAATAACTTTTCGTCTCCGTACCTGAATAAAACTACTAAGTAAAATAATATACATTTACGAGTTTTTTAACGTAAGAAAGGTATCTTAATAAAAATCGCTACGAGTAATAGTTCTCGAGATATTTCGAATCGAAATTATCAATACCTGTCATCATTGACATAAAATAAACATGTTGACTAAATAGTTATTAGACTGAAATCATAAATTTGAAATGTTTTTGTGTCAAATCATCATTTTTTCAAAGAAAATTTTATAATTAATTTAAAAAAATAAAAAGTTCCCAAATTTATCATTTCAGTCAAATAACTATCTACTCAACATGTTTATTTTTTTGTCAATAATGACAGGTGTTAACTATTTCCATTCTAAATATCTTGAGAACGGTTGCTCGTAACGATTTTTACCAAGAGATATTTTTTACGTAAAAAATTACGAAAATGTATATATCTTTTCACTCAATAGTTCTATACCGGTACGGACAAAAAGTTATTATTTTTCAAAACAGTTAAAACACATGTAGATGGCACCCTCTACAAATAAAAGTCATAATGACATCAAAATCAAACTTCTCATGTCAAAAAACTGCCAGGCATCAATTTCCATCCAAATATTGACGTTACCTCAGAAATTGTTTCGAAAAAATCTATATAAAAATAAAACTTTTACACCCTGTATCTCCAAAACTAGGCATTTTAGGACATACATTTATACGAACTTTTTTGCTTATTTTTATCTGCAGAATATGCTGCCGAAGTTTCCAGATTACAGTTCGGACCACCCTGTATAGAAGGAGCATCAAAAATATGAAAGTACGTTAACTGATTGTACATTATTAAATTAAACGATGAGTTTGTTTTTACCAGACATTTTTTTGTGCGAGAAAACCAAAAAACAAAGATCTGAAGACAAAAAAATTATGGCGGAGGTCCACATTGTTGATGGTTGTTTTCATTTTGAAATCCACACACAGACATAGATTATTTTAGTTTGGTATTTTGTTGTTATTTGAACATCTTGGGCACAAATTGCAGAAAATGTTTCAATTCAAATGTGCCAATACAAAATAACTGATGCACGAATACGTTCAGACTCAAAACTTGTATCAAACACTCTGTATAGTTTCTAGGACGTACCTCAAACGACACCGTGTAAAATCGGAACTGTAATGATAGGCTTTTAATTTAATAAACCAGCAACGTTAGAGGATATATTTTCAATTTTACCTGTTAGTGAATATAAATAGATAATGACAGGGATGCCCGAGCGAAATCTTCACGCGACAGCGATAGATTGTGAAAGTGATTCGAGTCAATTTGTATTGTTACGGCGATAATGCCAAAATTTGACGTTATTTTATACCTACTGTTATTATAGTGTTATTTTTTGTCTTGCAGTAAAGTTCCTGCATTTTTGAACATCGTGGACATAGCTGGCTTGGTAAAAGGAGCATCCGAAGGTCAAGGACTGGGAAATGCGTTTTTGTCGCACATCAGCGCCTGTGATGCGATTTTCCATCTTTGCCGTAAGTATTTTTTATGAGAAAAACATTAATACAGAGCTTCAAAAAAGACCTGTGGGTATTTTGCAACTTACACTGTAAGAAAATCTGCAAAATAAAATAGTTATTTTTTGTAAACACTGCTGCATTAATCCAACGGAGACCACCCAAGTAGCATCTATCTGACTTCGAACTAAATCTGACCTGAAGCGACGTCAGACTTTGTGCAAATTTAGGTCGGGTGACGTCGCTTTCCTATTAAAAGCGACGTCGTTGAATCCGAGTCGGTAAATCCAACGATCTGTCGACGTACAAAATAACAACGTACCATTTTTATTACTTTCCCAACGTCGTTCCCACGTTGGCTTGCACGACGTACATATACTTGAACTAGCCCGACGTCTACCTGTTGTCCGAATAGGGTACGTCTCACTGATAATCCCTAAAGTAACGTCCAATTATATTTTGTTGTATTTTATGTTCATATTTATAACCTAATTTACGTATCTCTATTTACGTCAGTAAATACAACCCATTAAGTAGCATTTGCGACCTAATGAACATCATGAACATAACCTAATAAAAGTTATTGTAAACAAACTTAATTTTTTATTATGCCTAAAAACACTAAAAAGGCATTTAGACATTCATCTACATTTTACAGAAAGAGGTCGAGGCTTTTGCAAAATAATAGTAGTAGTGATGTCTTGCCTCCACCCATAAATGCTTTTTATCCGGAAGAAATGCTGCATTACACTGATGCATCTTAATTTCATTTTTTAGCTTAAGAAACCAGCAGACTTCATCCTCCTCCCACATGTGAGATTAGGCTTAAAAAGTGGCTGCCCATGTTTTTAAGGAGAAAACAAAACTAAAATATAGTTGCACAAATCCACAAATCACTGATACGCAAAGTGAGGTTACGTGGCGTACGTTGGAATTATATACGTCATAATACGATTGCCGGTCGTCCGGTTTGATGACTTCGGTCGTGTGAGACGACTAATGTTGGAGACCCGGTCGGAATTGGTATATTGGTAGTTCATATTAAGTCGGACACAGAAATCCGCCATTCTTAACAAGTATCCCATTTTCAGCCATTTTAGAATCGTTTTTTGTTTTTAAAATTTATATTCACATTTCGATTTCTAGTAGAATAATATTGATAAGGTTGAGTTTTGGGGGAACCACAGTACAGTTTTATCATTAAACCAGCTAGAAAATTAAAAAATGTTTTGCCAGTTACTTTTTTATAGACATTTTTATTTCATAAATCTACCTAATTTTGAAGGCGCTCGTTGTTTTCCGGAGTATTTGAATCAGATATATCAAAAAAGTGACTTCCGTTGATAAAACTGATGTCTGGATTAATAATTCAGAATTATTATAATATGAAATTAGATAGGCACTTATAGTTATATTCGAGTTGTGATTATGAATCCATTTGTAATTAGGTAGTTTGGTTAGGTTTTTATGTATTCTTGGTAGCGAATATGAAACCAAACGTAACGTAAGTGCTTAGCGACGAATTTTAAGTGACTAAAATCCAACGTAATATGACGTTGGTAATTGGTAGAATTACATTCCTTACTAGGTCAGATACCGACGTCGAGGCGACCCGAATCTGTATTCCCCATTTAGGTGCAAATAAGGGTCGTCAGGCGGTCGAACCGACGTTGGTACCCGACGTCGGGTTTATTGAACGCGACGTATACCCGACGTTAGATAACGTCCAAATGCTACTTGGGCAGCTGTCAGGAGTGATTTATTAAAAAACAAGTTTGCCTAACGGACAAAAAAATGCTTGACGTTTCGGGAAGTAAAGTAAAGTAAATTTTCCTAAAATATAATTTTATGGTCAGAACCATGATTCCTGGACATTTTGTTTTTTGATTCATGTGAATGAAATGATAACGATCAATTTGCAATTTTTTTAATTATCATTATTTTTTTATGTAGTTTTTTAATATGAAGAGATGGTTTAGGCGACTATTGTCGTAACGTCATATTACACTGCATTGAATACTCTAGTATTACCACCCTTGGCTGCTATAACTGCCTGTATACGTCCGTTCATAATGTCATTGAGGCAGTTGAGGCTTCATATATATATATATATATATATATATATATATATATATTATTTATATATATATATATATATATAGAATATATATATAGTATATATATATATATATATATATATATATATATCTATACCTATATATATATATATATATATTGTCAAACGTAGCACACGATGGGCAGTTCATAGTAGTACACAATTATCACCAAATGAAATGATAAATGAAAAAATTGCGAATTGTTGGTGGCAAGCTCATTTAGCTCTTAAAAACTAGCCAAGGCATGTATTGATATGATCCAAAAAACAAAATGCCCAGGAGACATGGTTCTGACCGTAAAATTATATTTTAGGAAAATTTACACACAAAATTATTGCACAGGGTGTTTTAAACTTAGGGTAAAAAAAAACTCTCGATCAACCCTGTATAATATACAGTTTATAAAAACTGAATTTACGAATAAGAGGTGATATAATTATATAGAGCTTGCTAAAAATTCATGAAAATAAGGGTAAAAATAACAAAAATACAACACTTTAAATTGACCAACAATTTCTCTGTTGCGTTTTTTGTTTTGCATTTGAGTGTATATTGTACTATAAATTGATTTTTTTGTATAGGAGCGTTTGACGATGATGACGTAATACACGTAGAAGGTGACGTCAACCCTATAAGGGACCTGGACATTATTGGGGAAGAATTGAGACTGAAAGACGAAGAAGTTTTGATGAAGAACCTGGAAAAACTGGAACGGACAGTGTTACGTGGCGGGGATAAGAAACAGAAACCAGAATATGTAAGTAATTACGTATATTTATGGTCTAAATAAATAATGACAGAAAATACAATTAAGGTGTGTGTTAAAATGACAGACATAATTTTCACTGCCACGGATCCTGATGTTGGACAGACTATAATTCACAAAATATTCCCTTTAGAATTTTGACTTTTATGTCATGAAATGAAAGTAAAAGAAGCTCCCCAAATTCATGAAATATCGATCCCTATATTTAATTTAATAATATATACTTATTTAATTTTTTGGAATATTACAGAAACGTTTTTTTTTTAATTGAAACGAAATAGGTATATTAAAATTACATTATATATATATATATTAAAAATTACAATAAAAAATAGTAATTTATATATAAAACACAGTATAGCTTTTACTTCCAGTCATTGCCATTACAGAAAATGTTCTAAAGGGGGATGTTTTGTGCTGTAATTTAATAATATCATAGATTATACAGATAATAAACTTTGTTTTTTCTTTATTATTTTTCGTGGTTCCAATTTTCGGAATCGGGCACTAGTTAGGTTACTAGTTTGCGCACATAGCACGCCCACTTATGGCCTCTAAAATTGTGCACAGCGCCTGACTGGCACAGTTATTAGAGAGATATCGGAAAACCGAATAGCGTTATGCAGTATTTACGCGTACCTTATCATGGTTACGATATGCGCGAGTCAATTTTTAACGCAACACCCGCTAATAACGTTACCGCCTGACGTAATTTGCGGATCAATTACACCAAGCCCTATTTCTAAATAAGGTTTAAAAATTACTTAAATGGGCATGTGCGGGTATTTGACAACCGGGGCCGGCCGGCGAGATCTTTTATTTTAGGTTATGTTTGAATTGTTTTGAATTATTACTTTAGTTTTATTAGGTTATTTGATATTTAAGTAGCTGGGATTAGTTTTAGTCAAATAAATATGGCCCAAAATATGGATTCCACCTCTTCCAATATTAAAGAACCTATAAAGAGGCTTAGGTTTACAGCAGATGACGACTTAGCCCTTCTAAGAGAATTTGTTGCTTGTTGCCCTAAACCCACTGGCAGACGTTGAACAATAAAGCACTGGAAATAAGCACTTTAGCCCTTTAGTTTTAAAATACCTAGTAAACAAAACAATTTCAAAGTTTTAAATTCAAAGTTAGGTTAAGTTTAAATAGCGGACGCGACGCGAACAGAATTCTTTCTGCTCCGATAACTAAAAAACTATAAATGAAGAGAGTTAATACCACCTCACGAAAGGAAATAACACCTGGCCTTATTAACGTCCATGCACGCTATTCGGTTTAGCGATATCTCTCTATTACGCTGTTTATTGTTATTTTACGCGAGTTTATTTTTGCGCACAGGAAATTTTACTCGTTTGCACATCGTCATAAAAAACAATTTTCGTACCACGAATTAGGGATAAGTTTTTTATCTGTATACATATAGTATACCTAATCTGTGATAATATAGTATTAAAACAGAACAATTTCTCTTTATTTTTTAATCATATTTATTTAAAACCCACTCAACGGTATAAGAAATTGCCTTAATATCCTTGCTGACGCATCGGAATTTTAATCTATTATGGCTATTTACAAGCTTAAATATAAGAAAACGAAAGAAGAATGAATAACCACAATATAACTAGCCTTCTCGGCGGGACGTCACGTTGAATGACATTTCGTCTGTGTCGATATTCGTTCTGAACATCGTCGAAATCAATTTGCTCGAAGGAGGTCTCGCGTATGACACCATGAATGTCAAAAGATATAGATTACGTCAGTTATATCATCATGATCACCTTATTCAGCTTGTAAGTTGTAAATTATATGAGAGGGTGGTTAAGTTAATCACCGCGAGCTTAAAGATCTATTGTGTCCCCCTTTCTTGAGTTATAACTCATCATACAAAATAGTTATAATTAAAACACTGTCATAGAGTAATCACTATATGCAGCGACCAAGAATCTCTGTTTACTGAGTTGACCACTCTTGAAAGAAGTAAATATCTTGCAACCGTGGTTCTAGAGGACATATACAATATCTGTCTATTAATTTTAATATCTGTGCTTCGGTGCCGATGACTGGACTGTTTCTTCTTATTTTTCTTTTCTGCTGTCTATTCGAAAAGGACGCCGTTATGCAGATGAGCGCATGCGTGGCGTGTGGTCCGTCGCAATGACAATTCAAAGATTGTTATCGCTATTTTAACACTGATTGTACAGGGAGATCGTTTAGCATAATTCTATTATTAGTTTATTTATTTCTCTTGTAGTCATTTTCTTCTTTTTTATTCAACGTCATTGGGATTTTTGATATTCTAGATGTATAATATACAATTAGTGAATAATAATAGCTATATTTTTAATATGTTTTTTTTTGTTCCAGGATGCACTGGCGAAAGTAAAAACTATTTTAGTTGATGAAAAGAAACACATACGGTTTGCTGATTGGGATTCTAAAGACGTAAGTATAATCTTTTTTATCATTTTTTTTTGTTAAAAAAGTAAAGTAAAGATTTCAAGTTAATACGGTAGAAAATATAAAATTTTCTACCTACCCTACCCTGGTTGACACGAATCAAAAAACACAATGCTCAGGAGTTATAGTTCTGTTCGTAAGTAATGTTTTGGGGAAATTTACTCACAAAATTATTGCACAGGGTGTTTTAAAGTTACAGTATTTATATGTGAAAAGGCTTTAAAACAGCAACATAAAAACCATTAGAGATAAATCTTCTTCCTCTCGGCACAAGTTACTCTTGCAACTCACCGTCGACCTGCTAAGACCGTCTCCGTCGTCTGGGGACGCCCCGCGTCGCCACACGACCGCCGCGCCCCCAGGTGGCGATATTGTTGTGGCACATTAGCATTGTGTCGATCCTTGTAAATGGAATCATTCATCCGATCCGATAGCATCTAGCTCGTCGTCGGCATTATTTATCATTCCCTCACTGCCTTGCGTTATTTTTTTCCTATTTTTATTTTGTTGTAATCGATTCGGAACAACGCCCACCTCTTGGGCGGATTGTTTTGATCGCATTAGCATAATGATGACGAAAGATGTCGTGTTTGTTTGATGTCGATGCGATATGGACACGATATGTGCTAGCGGTATTGGTTGGGGCGGTGAAAGGTTAAGAGGATTATTGTAACTAATTATATTTTATATTGATACACAGTTGTTCATTTTTTCTGGTATGGTAAAGTCATTGAGTGTTTCTTTAGAACGTCGTTTTTTATTTCTCTTTTTTTATTCGATGTCTAAATTTGATGTTTGAGAAAAGTTTTATTTCTAAATATTAGTTGGAATTTGTTACTGTTGTGATACAGTTCATATTAAATAAACTTATAGTCATGTGATTAAGCTGGACCGGCTTGGTCCACTTTTACATATTTTCTTTTAATTAAAATATTTTAGGAAACAAAAATAAATTAATTATAAATATATAAACAGTTATTATTTACATCAACAAAACTGGCCTTTTTAACAGCATTTAAGGAACTTAAAGGGCTATTACTATCGATTTCCCGTTGAAAATATTCTAATAAAGCTGCGATGAGCTTTTTACGGCTATTAAGCTATCTTGTACACTTCGCATTAAAGGAGGTTCTAAAAAGAACAATATTCGAGGTCTGCTAGTAAACATTTTAAACAGCTTAAAGTATCACAACACTATTTAATTAAACCCAAAACTCGTAATACGAAACTAAAGTGTCAAAACGAATGACAATGTCAGGAAATAAATAAATAACTGCGGCAACTTGACATTTTTTACAGCAAAGCTATCACCTGAATCCCCAGCGCGAAATTTTAATTCCAGTTAGTCAGCCCGGCGCCGAATATGTCTATGGTTAGTAACAATGAATTTAAAAATCGCGCCCTCTATTACTTAACTAAAAGTTTAATTGCTATCAAATATAGGTTCATACTTCGAAAATTAGTCCTAACCTTAAACTAACAATAACCTCAAGAACTTAAAGAAATGTCGTTTTTGTACGAGGACGGTAGTAGACCGAGCTTGGAGAACAGCGCAGTCGTTATCGGTAAAATAGTTGCCTGATTTTATTATTTTTTTGTTGTTTTTCTTCGTGATTTTTTAATTTTTATAAAGATTATGTCTCATCTACGTGAAAAAAACGTTAAAAAAAATTATTCGGTATTTTTGAAATTTTTGTATACTAAGTAATGTTATCTAAAATATTTATGGCACGCCCATGAATTGTCCGCTACAGAACGGATCGACGTACTGTGCTTGTCTCAAGAATATTCTAGTATGCGCTTGCGCTTATATTATGAAACATATTCTAACCTAACGTCACAAATATATTTTTGAATTTTGAAAACTAGAGAAACAAATTTTCACAATGATAAAATTCATAACATAGTGAATTGAACGTATATACGTACATATAACTAACTAAACTATGAATTGAACGTATGACTGATAAATTCGTTCGATATAATCTTCTTCGTTTTTTTTTCATTAAAATGATATAACAATTTTTTAAGCACTTTGTGCTTATCAGTGTATTTTTTCTTGCAGATTGAAGTATTAAATCGGTATTTATTCCTGACCTCCAAGCCCTGTATATACTTAATTAATTTATCAGAAAAGGACTACATCAAAAAGAAGAATAAGTGGTAAGTCTTTAGATAACTTCGTGAATCGCTTAATAATAGCTTTAAAAAAATTGGCGCCGGCGCCGGGAGGCACGTATAACCGCCCATACTAAAATATGTTAATAAAAAGTTGGGAGGCAGTTCTTTTAGTTTCAAAGTAAAGGAATTTTTCCATTTATCTCAAAAACTGCGATTTTAACTGACTTTGATGTTATTACAAAGTTTGTTGCAAATATTATTATTAATCTTAAATTGAAAACCGCTAGCTACTGTAATTTTGGAGTTACTATTTTTTAAAATTTTTAACCCCCTACCTTACCCCCCTTACCAACCCCCCGCCCCCACCAAAAACTAATAGCCAGATTTTCGGGTGGCACAGTATTTTTGTGCCAACTTCGGTTAAGATCGGTTTAGCGGTTTTTGAGTTATTGTGTTAAGCCCCATACTCACACTTCGCTCCTTCCTCGCGTTACTTCCTCGCGTCCCTTCGTTCAAAAATCATATATTTACTATGGGAAAATGTCGATTTTATGCGACTGTGTGTTCCTTCCTCCTTCGTCAAAACGCTACTTCGTCCGTTTACTTCCTCGAAACGCTCCATCCACGTACTGTCGGTTTTTGGAGGATGTAGCAAAGGAATTATCACAAACACAAAAAAATATTAAAATATATAAAATATATAAATCGATCTTGGATTTCATTCGTAGTTGATTTCTTGATTTGGCAGTACGTCTGTACAGGGTGTCCCATTTTCGTGTGTTTTGCAGGGTTTCTCGTTTATGAGTCGAGATACAAAGATGCGGTTTTCACATTACGCTGTTACTTTTTTATGAAACTAAAGATGCTACATACAGATATGTCCTAGCTCTCTTACTTCCTAAAATACAGGGCGAATCTGAAATGATTGCATTTATCGATCCCCTTTGTATCATAACTTATCGAAAAGGTGAAAACGGTCTCCCCTACAATTTTTCACGTAGAATGCAGTGACGTAACTATTTTTTCGTTGGAATCTGTCTTTTTTTAAATTGACTAAAACTTGTTTTTTAAAAAATATGTTTTTTTAAATATGATATTTTGTATATTATTTTATTTTCCTTGTTACGAGCTTTCTAAAGTACTTATTTTCATAAACGGGGTAAAAATGCATTATTTAACTTTATTACATAGTCGGCCGGTTTAAATTAGGTAATCAAAACAATCAACTAATTTATTCGACGTAAAATGTTGGTTATTGGCATGTTATTTAAAAGCAGCTCAAGTTCAGTTTCCGTGTAGTTTATCAAAATATCACGATGCAAGGCAAAATTATCTGGTAAAATTAAGTTAAATAAACGGCTGAAAGGCACACAGGGCGATATCGCATTACTGCCCCTCAGCAAGATCATTTTTTACAGTTAAATGCCCGACCGTTAGTCCTGACACTGTTCGCAGTAGATTAAAAGAGGTCAACTTAAGAAGCAGACGCCCCTGGAGAGCTCAACCCTTAACGAGAGGAAATCGAGAGGTACGATATTTGTGGGCTCAAGATCATGTTCAGTGGTCGAATGAACAATGGGCCAATGTTCTCTTCACGGATGGGTCACGCTTTGGAATTCATCCGGATTCGAGAAGGCTTAGGGTATGGAGAGAACCGGGAAATTTTATTCGGTTGGATCATGTTCAGGAAGTGCACCCTTATCAAGATGGAACAGTTATGGTCTGGGGAGGAGTCCAGTTAGGCCGAAAAACCGATCTCGTTTTTCTTGAAAGGTTTCTAACAGGAATCACATATCGTGCTTTAATTCTTGAGCCTGTCGTGTTACCACATGCCAATGATTTTGGGAGAAACTTCATTCTCATGCATGACAATGCACGGCCTCATACGGCCAGAGCGGGAAGTGAGTTTATCAATGCTCATCAATTAAACATCTTACCCTGGCCGGCACAATCTCCTGACCTCAACCCCATCGAGCACGTATGGGACGCGGTCCAAAGAAGAATTTTGAGAATGGGTATGCCTCGTGAAACTCGTAGGGATCTTGTTCGGGCCGTGAATGCAGCGTGGCAGGCTGTACCTCAAGAAGAGATCGACAACGTGATCAGGAGCATGGAGAGACGATGTAGAGCTGTAATGAACAGTAGAGGACGCTATACCCTTTATTAAGTAAAAATGGTTTTATCTTTTTTTTAATTCACAGTTTAGAATAAAAAAAAATGTGTGTATTTTTTTGAGTTCAATAAAAATCAAGGTAAATTTGAAAAATTCGGTAAATTTCGCATTTTTATTTCCAATACGTCCTGTAAACTATTTGTTTATTTTAATTTTATTATATCAGAAATGCAAATAATAAAATTACTGACGATGGCTGGATAAAATTGTAATATCCCTAGACTTTTCCGGTGTGTGTATTTTGTTCTTTTTCTAATAACCCAGTTCGTTTTTTTAGCGGTTTTCTAATCTCATTCTTTTTTATACACGTATAGACTACACGGCAGAATCTACTACAAAAGAGGCCCAAAAAAATCTGTTCCCTAATAACGCCCGTGTTTGTATTAATAAACTCCTCTACAAAAGAGCACGAAATTTCATTTGGTTAACATGTGACAGGCGTAGCCGATCGGACAGGTAAAGAAGATTGATCTTCTCGCGGACGGGAAAATAACGAAAAGATGTGGAAAACCACAAAAAAAGGTCGATAGGATGTGTCCTAGATTTATACAGGGTAAACCAAAAAGTTTGCAGCCAAAAGTTTTTCTAAAAATAAAGAATAAACTTTGTCTATAGTAATATCATAGTATAAGGAAACTAGTAGTTTTACTCCTTGTCAAATCCGTTGTTCTTTTTCTGTCACTTTATATGACCTTGTTCTCGACTCCCGTGACCACTCCCGTGACATAGTCGTGGTTTATTAACTAGGCAAAGTATAGTCGTGGCACTCGCCATAGTTTCACAGATATGTATTTAGGAAAATATGAGTTCACAATAAAATAAAATATAAAAATTGATCATCGAGTAAAAAACTTGCTTGAAAACAGAATATTTTCACATTTCGTGTAGGTAACAATTCTTCTGTATCTGAAAATCTTCTGATGGGAAGAAATGCGGAAAAAATATATAATGACATATTTTTATATTATTATCTATTTCAGAGATTCTCTACAATTTTTTTTTTATTTAAAACAAGTTTAATTTTCTGTAGATAACTGGATTCGGCATAAAATTATATATTATATATATTACCGTCTTTATTTAAAGCACATTGCGGTGTGGCCATTCTATTTCTTATTTACTAAACATATACGAAAGGTGGTAAAAAACTAGAGTGAATATAACTTTATTAATACTTAGCTATGTTTTCTTAAACACGAAGAATACCAGAATAAATTCGTGTAGAAAAATTTACTTTATCGTATATAGGATATTTTTTAAGGCGTCACCAAAATCGTAATATTTAAAATATTTTATCTCATTTTTTTAAATGCAACACCCTGTATATTATTTTTCTTTCAGATGTAAAATTAAAAGGTAAACGTTTTTTTATTTAAAGTGTTCTTAAATTTTTAGCCGTTTTGCAAATATTTTCTGTATTTCATTACATATGGGATTACCAACGATAAAATATCAGACAAAGATCATATTAGGTGGCTTTGATAAAAATTTACTGTTTAAAGAGCCATATGTAATATAATACTGCGAATATTTGCGAAACCGTTAAAAATTTAGAAACCCTTTAAATAAAAAAAATGTTCACTTTTTAATTCTGCATCTGACAGAAAAATAATATACAGAATGTGGCATTTAAAAAAAAATGAGATATACCATTTTAAGTATTCCGATTTTGGTGATGCCATAAAAAATACCCTATACAGGGTGTCCCAGAAATGAGTGCAGCAATCCAACACAGCAGCTATGCTATCCGGTGAAATAATCCTCTTTCAACGGTAAAATGAGTGCGAAATAGAATAATGTATATAGAATGATGTAAAATAATTTAAAAAAAATAAAACTAACTTTATCATAACTCTTTTGTGACATCCTGTATATAACAAAATATTTTAGGATGCGCCCCTTTATAAACCTTGAAACATACGAATAAAACTTTTTTCACATCTTCGACAACGACAACGATATTGGACTTCCTCGCACTAATGGGCCACCCTGTATATTTAAGGTGGTTTAAAGCTAGGTGTGGCACTTTTCTCCCCTCAAATATAAACTCAATATTTTGTCTATAATATTTTGAATATTGTTATATTACGACCATTTATAATAAGAAATAAATAAAAAAACATAAAAAAATACAGTCCACTAAATTTATAAGAGATTATGCTATTATAAAATTCTTTCAATTAAAATATATGAATAATTTGCGGAGACTTTAGATGTACAAAATATTTATTTTAAAATTGTTTCAAAAATAAATCTATATAAATTATCTCGTAAACTATTATTAAAATGAAAATTTTATGGCAAATCCCCTGACCAAAACATATTTTCATGCGCATATTTGAGACAACCTGTATATCTAAAAAACTATTTTTAAAATCTGCCCACATGCTAAAAAAATAATAACATTTAATTAATTACATAATATCTCAGCTTCTAAAATAACCAAATATAATTAAATGTTAATTGATAATTACTATCAGCTTGCCGATTTATATCCGATGGAAATCTAAAAAAACTCAAAGAACAATTTTTTGAATTATTACTACAATTAATAGCAGCACACAGTAATGCATTCATTTTTTATCAATCCGTCTCTGTGCTGGAACGCAGCGGCAGCGCTCGAACCTCGCAGCTCGACGGACGGAATTCAACTGAAACGCTTTGCAACCTGCCGATATTCGACAGCTTGCAAAAACTGGCAGAAAATATTTGCGAGAGTGCAACTACTCTTTTCCTTAAACTAGGCTAATATATAAAATCCTTAAATGACTGACTCAGTGATTAATCACGATCCTGCTCAAACCACTCAACGTAAGAAGCTCAATTTTGGCATACAGGTTGATTCTAGGGTATACAGGTTCGATAAGAA